GTCGTGGCGCGAAACGCGCATATTCCCGTTCCGCCAACAACATGCGCAAAGAAAATCAAAACGCAGCGGCGGCTTCCGAACGTGCCAAAATCACCACGCTGGCCAAGGTTTTCAGCATGTGCGTGAAATGACCACACGAAGCGTAACGATGCGCGGCGCCGTTTCGCCCCCAAAAACCACCCCCGTAACTGAACCCGTTAGGGGATTTTGACATGCAATCGATGTATGGTTTGCTTTGAGAAGCCATGTCAGGCTGCACATGGGTCCGAAAGGTGCGGGGCTTGGGTGCTTCTAGCGGAGGCTTTGGTGGTGTGGATGCCTGGACTGCAGGCGAGAGGGTGGCACACAGGCCTTTGCTCCAGAGGTCCAGCTCGAAACCACCAGCTGTGATTAGCGTGAATTGGCTTGTGGCTCCAGGCTGCGGGGAACTCTCAGAAGCAGCTGAAAGAGCCAGCGCAAGCAGTGCAGCCAGACGAGCAGGCTTGCGAACATTGCGAGCATGTGCGAGCAAAGGGAGCGAGAGTCCAGCTGCCGAAATTGTCTCGGTCAAGGCACCAGCACCGGAGAAGCCGGAGAAGCTCGAAGCGAGGCTCGAAGACCGCGAGCCTCCAGCGTCAGGCTGGGGCTGGCCGCGAGTCTTTCTTTTGCTCTGGTGCTCGGGTGCTCTGCATGCTTCTCCAGTGCTTCCGCTTCCAGGCCCAGCTTCGAGCCTCGAGGACGGTGAAACGGGATCCTCAGATAGTAGCTCCGACGATGACTGCAACTCCCAGGCCTTGTGGCAGAGCTAAGTACTCGATCAATTGCGAGGGACCTTGCCAGGCATGTGAGAGACAGCCTGCCGTGCAGGGAGCAGACTTCAGCGGATCAGAGAAGAGCTTTCCGGTCGCCGTGGCCGAGAAAGGAGCAAAGGAAGGCGCCGGCGCCGGCGAGCAGGCTGGGCAGTCCGACACTGACGTCAAGGAGCCCAGAAGAACGGTGCGTGCATCGCAAAGTGTGTGCCAGGGATGCTGCATGTCTTTAGCCTGAACGACATCCCCGTCTCGACTCACATGCATTGGCTTCCCAGCGTGCAAAGCTCCTGCAGCAGGACAGAGGAAAGGACTTTGTCATGGAAGTTGTGGGAGGTGGGCTGGGAAGCGATGAAACCCGGGCTTTTGGACCACTTCTGTGTTGTTGGTAGACTGGAAGGCCCAAGTATCTGCTTATGCCAGCGAGTTGGACTTGCTGCTTCTCAGCCTCTCCTGAACAGGCTGCAACGGGCTTTCTCCGTCGGAGACTTGAAGCGTTCCAGAGATTGCAGAGCAATGCTTCAAAGCATCCTAGTCTAGCAGCCTAGCACATTTGCAAGCTTGATCCTTCCTCAGGGGTGACACGAGCAGAACCATCCCGGTCCCAAAGCATTTGTACAAGCAGGTCGCAGGCGCTGGGTTTGTGGTTCAGATGTCTCCTGGGCTGCCTGTGTGCTTTGCAGATCTTTGCAGGTCTTCGTGCCTCGCTCCAGGCCAAGCTTGACATCCAGGAGCTCGATGCTGCGCACATTATATGATAGCAGAAGCTTATAAGACTTCATGGAGGACCAGATGGATCCCTGCAGGGTCACGGTTTCCGGAAAGGAAGCGCAGGTCGAAGCTGCCTTGGCAAAGATCCGCACGCTTGGAAACAGGACAGGTTCTGCCTGCTTTGCAGTGCCGGAAACTTGAACGAATACTAACGCCCTAGTCTTCGGCCAGAGGCTGGCGCATGCTGGATCTTAAGATCTTTCATAATTACATTTGTGCTGGCTGCTTGAACGACGTGCGCCATTCGCTGTCTGTAAAGACGCAGATGCCGCGCCCTCGAAGAACCATTCGTCTGGATTCCTCAACTTGCTGGCCACACGCCAAAGCCATGATGGGGGTTGGCTTCGCAGAGCGAGGAAAGAAAGGGAGGTCTTTCACGCCGAATGTGGTTTTAAGCGCTCAAGGCTACAAACCGCACATAGCTCTTGTCGCTCAAGCTCAGATGGTCTCACGTCCATCTGCCGTCTGCAGGAGCCATGACGCTGTGGAATTGCGAGTTGTGAAGGATGGGCAGAAGCAACCACTGCAGGGATGGACGAAGGAAATGACGCTTATCAGGCTTATCTTTCTGAAGCAGAACATCTTGCCCATGTCTGATCTACTATTTCATATCGGAAACTTGATGAACAGCACAGCTAAGGATCGCAGAAGCGACCAAGGCCTCCGTCACCTTCACAGATGGCGAGGCGCGGATGCCTTGTGGGGCTTAGTGCTTGATGGCTCTGAAGCAGCCCAGATCCTCACATGCTGTAAAATGCGGGTGACGCGGGGCCGATGCCCCAACAATTGGATCCCATAGACCGAAAGCCCGACCCTCGCAGACTACGGAAGAACTGAGGAGGAATCCAACGCCCTCTTTCTGTAGAGAAGGCGTCAAAGTGGAAGACTGCTCCGTTTGGCTGAGGACAACCTCAGCGTGGCGCTGAAGGGCCCTTCGGCTGCTGTGGAGAAGGCATGGATCTTGGTGGTCGAGGCAGGATCCTGCGGCCATGAAGCACCATCTATCGCACACCTACCCCATGTAGTTTGCCAAAGGAATGCCAGACTTCGTTCAATCTCATCTCTTTGTGAGTACAGCCTGTTGCCAAGATTCAAGCATGTACCTGAAAGGGATATTCAGAGCAGTCGCACATCACCTACGCTACCTCTATGAGACTATATCAAATCGCAAGAGGGATTCCCTCTACACTGTTTGCCTTCGAAATTTCCGGATCCATGTCTAGGCAGATCTTCACAGAATAATGCCCGCGCATTAGCTTCTACCTACTGGGGTTATATACTGTAGGGATTCTATAGGGATTATATTTCCTTACTCCCGACCAACCCCCAAGACCCTAAAACATACATCCCAAATCCTTGTTCCCAACTAACCCCCCAGTAAGTCTAGCAATGCGGATGTTTGCCCTAAAAACCTCACAATTAACATACCATAACCTATC